TTTGCATATATGTATTTGCTGTGCCAATACTTTGTTCCGGCAGTGTATGTAGGGGCAAAAAAAAAAACGGGAATTTCAAGAAAAAATAGGTTTAGTGACTCGTACTACCTCGCTGGTAGGAGTTAGGGTTACACCGCGATGGACACTTTTCTAGACCATTAAATTCTGAAGAAACCCCTTCCTTCATAGACCATGATAATACGATAAAATACAATTGAGTTGTAGATTTTTGAAGAAAAAAAATTACAGTTTACGTGCATTTTAAACGGAAAATCTTTGCACGTCTTGGTCGAGCACCTAATATTAATATTAAAGGCTTAAATTTTCTGGTATTTATTTTCTATTTTTTTGAGTAATTCCAACAAAGTTTCCAGGAAGGAGTGAAAAAAATATTCGCCAAAAAACGCACTCGAATATCACTGGCGGACAAAAGTGGATTTGTTTTTAATATTTACAATGTTTTTCAAGCTAAATTTTGTTTGCTTTTTTTTATATAAACATGGTTCATGCTTTAACAATAACCATATAAATCACGCTTCCAAACTTTATACAGAATTTAGAAAAAATTCTACAAATTGGTATCTAAATTTCGAGCTTTTACAAACAGAATTTGTATATAATTTTTGGGTATGCAGTTAACGGGCTTTAAGTAAAAAAAGTGCAAGTTTTCAGCGGCTAAAAAATTGCATTGATTTTTAATATTAAATTTTTTTTGTTGACGGCGTTTCGCACTTTTCTTCATATAAACAAGAATTTCTTGTGGAACAATATGCGCCAGGCTGTTTGCGAAAAAAATAAAAAAATTAACGCCACTTTTCCTAAATTTTGCTATTTATATGAAAAACATCGCAAAAGCCGTCACCAAAAAAATAAAAATATTAAAAATCAATGCGATTTTTAGCCGCTCAAATATATTAAGAACAAAATACCATTCATCCACTTTTGAACGCTAGTGTATATACGTCTGTCCTATTTTGTTTATGTATGATTTATTGAGGTAGGAATTCTGTTCATATAATACTTTACGTTATAATTTATTTCTCAGTATTTGCATATATATCTACACATAGTGGTATAATTAACTACATAAAACTTTCACTCTCATAATTTCAAAATAAGTGTAATAATATATTCAGGCAGGTGCTGCAATTCACTTCCGAGTGAGTGAATTTCAACAAAGCTCAATTTGAATGCAAAGCGAATTCGGTAGAAATTCACTCGAAAATGAATTGCACAACCCGCCTCATTATCTCAAATTTTCACAACAATTGCACAAACACACATTTCTATATAAATAGTCTTAATAAATGGCTTAAAAGTATTTAATATCAGTACACAATTTAATTTTTTTCTTATCCAACTAATCTCTAAAAAGCATAAATGTCTAACGTATGTGATTACGTTTCCTTCTATGCTGTATTTTCGAGCGATTTAAGCTAGATTTTCTTTTGCTGCTTGACCTGCGTTCGGCAATCGCAGCTGTGCTCCAATCATCAGTGTCCACTTGCACTGCGCCAGATCTGCGTCTGCCCAAACCAGCTTCTGTACGCCTGTGCGACTCATCGCGCAAAATATCACTTGCAGCACGATTTGTATCGACGAAACGCTGTTGAAATTCATCAAATCTTTTAATTAATTGAATTTCATTAGCTTCGTCCACCGCCGAAGGGAGTGCAGTAAATTGCCGTGGTCTTCGTATGTAATCCTTAACGAATGCGCGCGACCATATCACTGGATCGAGGCTGGCATCGTAGCCTTCGTGGTCGGCTTGCCAGGGATATGCCACGCCGTAGGTGATGTAATTCAAACACAATACATTAACGAATACTAAGAATGTGTATTTTAATTCATAAGACATTGCTAATTGCTAATGCTAAATGATCGTCGATAATGGCGTTAGAACTTTTGCTGGAACACGCGTCTTTTAAATTGATTGATTTTGCTTGAGCGGCAAGCCGTGAAACGCGTCGTTGCCGTAGTGTGAGTTTTGGAAATTGCTCAATGCTCTGCGTAATGTGGAATACCCGTGTGTTTGCCTTGAGTTGATACCAGAAACTGTTAAGTTTCCAATTGTCGTTGAGCGCTCTTATACAGCTGATCGCTTATGTCACATGGAAGTTAATGAAAATTCCGGTCTTACCGGCTACAAATATACATATGTATTTAGTACATACATTTGTAAGAGTATTGAAAAAATATTTACAGATTTTTCAAAACCCTGCTGCTCTATTTACTCGACAACTTTGTTTGTTTTCATTGTATACAAACTACCTGCGCTTTGGGCTACATAAGTATGTACATCCATGTATATCTGCTACTCTATTTTTATTGCACCTTAAGGCAGGTAAATAAATGTTGCAAGATTCGAGTAAGTGCGGTGTTTGTACGTACATACGCGTGTATTGCAATTATCAAGCAATCATAAAAAGGAAAAAAATGTCTGACAGCTGTGTGGGTCACAGACGAATTAGAGATTTACGACCTTTTTCCATTTGGCATTTGGTACTTTGAGTAGTGTAATAGTCGTATCCTTATCTAATTACTCATATACCACAGACGTTTCAATAATCGCCTAGCAGTAAAATAAATGCTTGCTCTAGTAATCCAATATTTACGTCGTTTTGGAAGCAAATCGTTGCTGTTCCACTGTTCAGCTTCTTAGCATTCTTATCGTCTTAATCCCTTTCAAATATATGAAAGTTTTGCGTCTGCAGGATGTACATTAGGATGGAGCGAAAAAAAAAACAATTTTTCGATTTGGAAATTCTTGATTTGGAACATG